CCCAGTTTATTTCTGCCAACCGGTTGACGTTTAAGCCAAGTATTTCCAGTTTGTACCCCAATCTGGGTGTTTGTTGCCAAATAGAATGGATGATCATCGTTCGAGAAGTTTAGTGGTCTCAAGTCACTGTACGACTTGTAAACAGCGACTGGATATCCACAGATGCCCATGCTTTAGGAGCAAGATCGCGAAACTGGTCACCCTGACAGGTTTTTGACTGCCGTTCAATATACTGGAGATATTCTCGGTTCTCTGAATCAACTTTTAGTGTTACATCACCCCATTGCATACAACTCTGCGGGGTCGTCGAACACACGCCAAAATAAACTGTGTTGTTCCACCATAATGTGTTTAAAATGGAATCTGGCGTGCTAGTGCCTAGTTGGCCACATTCACGGAGTTTCTGTAATTCAGTGTCGGATACAGGATCAGCACAGAATGGTAGGTTTCCTTTACCTTGTTTTTTTAATGACTTGAGTTTTGATTTCAAAACCTCCCTCAGTTTCTTGAAATGCATTGACTCAGCTAACACATGTGAGTACCCTTTACGCTTCAAATAGCGTTCAACGCTACCCTATATGCCCCGGAGGGAAGACAGTTCATACTCCGAACCATCACATTTTCTTGCCGATATGAAACATTTACATAGGATAGTGTTCAGTTCATGGGGGGCAATGTCTTCAAGCTGTCTTGGATCATTAAGACACTCGCGGAGAAATCTATAAACAAGATTCATGTCCAATTTTGTCCTTTTCATTGTGTTTTCGTTTTCGTTTGCAGCCAAGAAGTTATCAATGTCATGGTCAAAAACAGGAACAAATCTGTCAAAAGTTTTGTTTTCAATTGTGGGGTTAAAAAAATCATCTTGTAGCAAGTCATTTATGACACTCTGAGGCAGGTGGGGACTTTGGTGAGAAGCCGACTCGCTCGAGATTGTTTCCGGCAACACTTTCAGTCTGTGCCTTGCAACTTCCATTCCTCCATATTCCGTGTTTATGACATACACGTGAAAGGAATTTAGTGGTTGTGTAATTCTTGTTACACGACCAGTAATGTCTCCGTACACCTTGCCCAGGTCATTGACTTTGATTGGCGTTAACTGGGTAGCCATTTTTGTTTACAAAAGACAATTTTATCAATGTTAGACATTTTTTTATTACAAAACATGTTAAGTAGACAACGCTATATTGGTAATGAAGTATGAAATAAAACATTAAATTAGCATCAAAATCGAAATCCTGTATGTTGTTTTTGTTCTGTTTTTAGATCTCGAATAAGTGCGATTACATCACGGTCAATTTAATCAATGAATCGATGAAATTTTATGAATGAACGTAGTGTGTGAAAGTAGTTCCAGCATCCAATGAAAATGTACAAATATACAATCAACTAATCAACATCGAGAATCACTAAATTGCACACTGTGCAAATATCAAAAGATATTACACGGAATCTCCTCACCTGCATGGGTAATAATGAATAATACATCAACTGCAGGCTTGTCATTGTATTCATTACCTAATATTCTCCTTTCGTAGCCCAGTGATGATGGCACGTATCAAATTCACCTCATTAAAGGATTCATTGCATGACAAATACCCAACCCATTTCATTATATTCATATGTAATGTCAGCCATTAGCTAATGGCAACATGTGTAGTCTTTCCTGTAGTATAATTAGAAACATAACCAATCTGTAAATAAAAAAACTCATGCATATATTATATATTATTTCAGATATATTTCACAATGCCAATTGAAGTATGATTAATATGGTCATGAGTTTAAGTGAGTATTGTACCTGACTAATGGCGTTGGTTAGTTGATTTGTGTAACGCCACACTCAGCAATATTCCACCAGTCTTTTAATATGAAAATATTTTGGAAAGTGAGTACTTCTTACACCCAAATAAACTGTGCTTCTGGTATCCAGCTGAGCATGACCAGTGACGATCTGGGTTAGAATTGATCTTCAGTAACCCATACTTGCGACTTCGGGTGGTCAGGCTTGCTGACTGGGTTAACACATATCATCGTATCCCAATTGCGTAGATCGATGCTCATGTTGTTGATCCCTGGATTGTCTGGTCCAGATCCGATTATTTACAGACTGTCACCATATAGCTGGACTATTGCTGAGTGCCGCGTAAAACTAAACTCACTCACTCACTGGATTGTCTGGTACAGACTCAATTATTTGACCGCTGCCATACAGCTGGAATATTGCATTAAACAACAAACAAACAAAATGGGAATGAGGGTATTCAGATCTGATGTATAATAATCATTGATAGGCTCTAGATGCAAGTATGTCCTGGAAACCAGTAACCAACAGTGCTTGCAGCAATCAGCTGCTGTCAGACAAGCCAGTTAGTTCCACACGTGTTGTAACTGAAGCTTGTATTGTCTGTAATTACTAAGCTGCCTTTGTTGTATAATTAACCGGTTTTGATATCATAGTACATTTGTTCATGTGACTGAACTTGTACTGAGTGATCTTGCTTTTTTCGCTTTAAACCACTCAGTTGTAGCGTTTTGATTATCGGTACTGTAAACATTTATCTTGTTGAGTGAGTGAGTTGGTCTTTGCGCCGCCTTTAGCAATATTCTAGCAGTATCACCAAAAATGGGCTTCACCGATTGTACCCATGTGGGGAATCGAACCCGGGTCTTCGGTGTGACAAGCGAACCCTTTAACCACTAGGCTATCCCAACGCCTCCTTATCTTGTTGAGAAGAAACTGGCAAAACAACTGACAGAAGCATAAACATGACGAACCCCAAAATAACTTTATCACTGGCAGTTACCTTACTTTAGTTGAGCAAACAGTGGAGAAATATTCCAGTTTATGCCTACACAGCAGCAAATATTGTCAATTCACTTCAACATCTGGTGCAACACCAGACATGGGATAAAAAATAATTCAATCTTCAATAATATACGGTTTACTGCAGGTACTGTAATAGTCATGATTAAAGTGTTTAATTATAACTTTTCGATATTGTTCGAACTTTTTAATACCGTTTTTTTTTCAGTATTGAATAATGGATCTCATTTGACCCATGACCATGCAAAGTAGGTTTGATGGATGTACATGTATTTATTGCAAAGACTATCAAAATAAGATAAATAGATAAGGGTATCTATCTGCTCATCCGTCTTTATTACACACAGTTACAAATTCTTTTTCTCATTGGAAATATTCAGGGATGGCAATTTTCCTTTGATCGGCGGATATCCACGGATTTTATTTCAAAATCGATCCCTAAACCCCCGATTCCATGACACGATACTAAGTTTTCGACTGAAAATAGATTTTCCTGTTGCCATCCCTGAATGTTGTCCGCAAATGCCTTTACTGTTGGTAGCCAATGTCTGGACAAGCATTTATCTAAAGAAGAGAGGAAACAAATGACTTGGTATATTTCAGGTTTAGGTAATCTATAAAATTCTGCCTTGTGAGAAAATTATCTTGTAAAGTAGTCCTTGTCAGATTAAACTGATTCTAGACATGTTTGTCAACTGCTTAATAATGTACATATGTGTCGTCTTCACTAAGCAGCAGTTTGCTGGACTAAGGGAGATAACTCTTGTCGGGGTCTTCCACCATTATGTTTGTCTGATGTGATTCTCATGTTAAATGGGTAGAAGGTACCATAGTGATGCTCACCTTGTTTTAAAGAATTTGTAATAGGAAACATTTTAATGCATATTCCCCACTGAACTGACCTGAACATATTCTGTATATCATGTATAAATAACTTAAACGCTTATGCTGCTTGTTGTTCAAATGAACCACTTTATCCAGAAGCTTATGCTTGCTGTATCTGACGCTTGTATTTACCTCAACTCAGTGTGTGTTCAAAAGGTAAATTATTAGTTATTTCATACCTCACAGTGTTTTATCATTATGATAATATCAGTTTAATACAAGTTATTAATTACAGTTATCAAGCACGAACTGTATTATATGTGTGTAAACAAGAGCAGGGTTTTACGTGACACGCAAATGGGTGTCCAGTATATACAAATGTAGAAAATGGATGCAGAATAAAAATTCAGAAGGTCCACAATATTATTCACTGTACCCACAAGACATCTACAACTTTGCCAAGTGTTTATTTCTCTGAGAGCAGTAACGTGCATAATTTCGTCCCTCAGTCCACATGATCAACGATTCATTCCAGAACGTATAGTTCTCCACACTTGTTACTTCACAGGATGCTCATATTGCCTGCAAGGAGGCCTAATACTAATAATAATTGGGGGTCCCCGTCACTGCCATGTTTGCGAGTTGAGGTAAAATACTGCAAGAGCAAACGATAGTCAAGTAAATAAGAATTCAAGTGAAAGGGCATCATGAAGGTGAACGACCCGTGAAGATCCGGGGTAGAATAGGTCTTCAGCAACCCATGTGCTTGCCATAACAAGGCGACTATCTTGTCGTAAGAGGCGACTAACGGGATCGGGTGGTCAGTTTCGCTGACTTGGTTGACAAATGTCATCGGTTCCCAATTGCGCAGATCGATGCTCATGCTGTTGATCACTGGATTGTCTGGTCCAGACTCGATTATTAACAGACCGCCGCCATATAGCTGGAATATTGCTGAGTGCGGCGTAAAACTAAACTCACTCACTCACTCATGAAGGTGAACCTACAATTTATGACATGTGCATCCAGTGTGAAGATATTGAGAAAAAGGAAAGTTTCTGGTACTATTGTTAGAAATGGGCAAATTGTATTCGTTAGCAAAGAAACACTCATACTGGGTACATTTAAATTGGTGAGCTTAGATAAGGAGAGATTAAAAAGAAATTCATTTGCAAGAAAGCGATGAAACCTCTTAGAATAGACATGCTGGTGACAGTTGAAGAAATGGATGCTCTTTAAAAGATTCAGACTTCCATTATAATGGGTTTCATAATCGTTTACCTACAGGATTTTGCAAAGCATCTTTGAACATGTGGAACTGTTTATGTAATGTTGGCTGATGTTGCAGGTGAGATTGACAGCTTCAAGAACTCGTTCGAAGACAGCGACTATAGAGCTGGAGCCATCGCACTTTCCTTCTACTCCGGCTTCTGGGCATACAGCGGATGGTAAACAAATATATCTACGTCTACAGCTTCAAAAAACAGTTTTATATTTATCCATTAAAGATACCACTGTTTAGCAACAATACGCTGGTGTTACACATTTATGATACCCAAGCGGTGCTTGTGTTCTACCAGAACTAAATTCAAGAACATAGATGAAAATCTCTTTGCATCATTGGGTGTGTTCAATGGCATTGCAGGTGAAAATGATAGGTCACAGAGAGGAGCTTGTAAACCTCACATCACAGGCATTGTTTTGGTTGTTTATGTTGCAAGAAAATCTTTACAAGTACATCAAAGGGATTTGTGACATGTTTCTAAACTTTAAGGTGCTGAATCACAAAGACAGGCCAGTGTATAGTATCAAAATAATGTGTGTCAACTTTTAATATGTTCTTTCATTTATTCTGTTGGATTGGATTATGCTGTGAAGTATTTCTACACAACTGTGAAATATTGCCTTCGCGTGCCTCACCTTGTTTATTATTGTAATTCCCGTAGTTTGATCAAATGGGGTTTTAAGAACTTTTAAGCAGCGGGTTATTAAAATAAAGTACTGAACTTGCTCCAGTGTAGTAATTATCATATGAAACTTGTGAATAGTTCAGGTATCTAACAACCACCTCCGTGGTGTAGTGGTTAGAGCGTCCGCCCGGGAGAGCGGAAGGTCGCAGGTTCAATCCCCGACCGCGTCATACCAAAAGATGTTAAAATATGGTACTTGTTGGTCCCTGCCTGGCGCTCGGCATTAATGGGTACAACAAGGACTGGTCGGCTCGGAGTCAGTGTAATGTGTCTGAGTGAGGTATTCATGCTTCACTGCGGCTTGGTATCTCAGTGGGCTAGCACTATAAAACCAGCTTCAGCCTGGGCTAGTACAAGCAGCCGCACCTACACATACACACGCATGCACGTCGTCATATGAGTGAAATATTCTCAAGCACGACGTTAAACCCAATTTCACCTCACCTCACCTCACCTCAGGTATCTGACTCAATTTTTTCATCATAAACCAGAACTGAAATTGGTGTAACGCAGGAACAGATCCCCTGTGACTGTAAATCTGTCATTTTGAGCCTGTTCTGACAATAAATTCTTATCTGTTTTGCTCTGTTGATAAACTTATATTTTCAGTGATTTTGGTGGCAACAAAATTCATTAGGATAAGTTTTATGATTTTATCAATTTTGGACATTTCTCTACATTCATGCCAAAATTGGAAAACGTTTTGAAAACGTTGGGATGAAAATAGTCACTGCTGGAGATAAGCCTGTCAGTGGTGGTGGGCTAGCCTAGTGGTACAATTGTTCACTCGTCACGTCGAAGACCCAGGTTCAATTCCCCACTTTGGTACATTTCTGGTGACCCTACCATGATATTGCTGGAATATCGCTAAATGTGGCATAAAACTTAACTCACTCAATAAACTTGCTTTTGCTTGACTGACATGCCTGGTTTCCATCTACAGGAGTTACCTGAACTTTTTGACAGAAGAACTTGTGAACCCAAATCGGTAAGTCTTCGCACTACCTTGGAACTTTGGGCCATGTTATGTTACATTTTCTTGCATGAACATGTGCTATGATGAAGATGGTTGAACTAGTTCATCTTCACACATATTTTTTGTCATATCATATTATGTATCTGTATGTTCAAATAAAGGATAAACATTGAGGAGACCTGGTCTACACAAATGTTAAAAACTAAGGGGGCCTTCAGATAAGAACATTTTGGGGAATTATATCAATCACATTTCTGTTTGGTCCAGGCTTGATTGTTTATATGATATAGCAGGTACATTGATGAAAGTTGAAATTGTCCAATTTATATAGGGGCGGTGGGGTAGCTTAGTGGTTAAAGCGTCAGCTCGTCACAATGAAGACCCTGGGTTCGATTTCAAACATGGGTACAATGTGTGAAGCACATTTCTGGTGTCCCCAACTGTGATATTGCTGGAATATTGCTAAAAGGGGCGTGGAACCTTACTCACTCATTCCAATTTATATACATTTGTTACTTTCCTCAGCAATCTACCTCGAGCCATCATGATCTCCATGGTTCTGGTCATCTCTATCTACCTGGTCACAAACATTGCATACCTGGCTGTCCTCTCCCCAGCTCTGATGCTCAAGTCAACCGCTGTGGCTGTGGTAAGTTTGCCAGTTAATGCTTGGGGGAGTTGGGGTAGCCTAGAGGTTAAAAAGGGGTCGCTCATCACATCTGAGATCCGGGTTCAATTCCCCACATGGGTGCAATGTATGAAGCTCATTTCTGGTGTTCCCCGCCTTGATATTGCTGGAATATTGCTAAAGGCAGTGTTAATCCTCACTCACTCACTCACTCACTCAGAAATGTCAGATTATTATTCCCCGCCACAAAGTAGGAGGGGGGATATAGGTTTGAGCTCCCGTCCTTGCATCTGTCCGAGATGCTGGGGACAGATTTTCTCAGAACCGTTATAGATAGGAAAACCAAAAATTTTGAATGTGTTTTCAGGACATGAATGCCTTGATGGAGTTAAAAAAGGAAACCGTGTTACAATTTGTTACAGAGTTATGGCCCTTGTCATGCATTTCTTGACTTAGTGCATGGTGAACAGATTTTCTCATTTGTAGGAAGAATGAAAAGTTGTCAAAATAGGAACAGAACACTGTGGCCGGGGATATTAATGACCATGTCTTTTTGTATATTTCAATAGTGAAAAGATGGCAGAGGATATCTTGGTGTTCTTTTTGAGTGTATTTTTAGATATTTGAAAATATATTTGCACTGAATGATTAAGCTGGTGGTAGGAGAGTAGAAAAAAAATACAAGGACTTTCATCATGATCATGACTTTTTGTTTTTATGCTGAATTACAATAGTGAAGCGAGTGCTAATGTTAAAAATGTTTTCAGACGTTTGCCGGTCACACAATGGGTGTGATGTCATGGTTGATACCTATCCTCATTGCTGTCTCTGTGATGGGAACCATGAACGGAACTGCACTCTCAATGTCAAGGTCAGAACCACCTTCCACCTAATGCAACCCTACAACCCCTTCAGGTGGCCCTATCCTTCAGCCATAATCACTTTTGATCAAGACCTCCTCCGTGGTGTAGTGGTTAGAGGGTCCGCCCAGAGAGTGGAAGGTCACGGGTTCGATCCCCGACCGCGTCATACCAAAAGACGTTAAAATTTGGTACTTGTTGGTCCCTGTCTGGCGCTTGGCATTAATGGGTACAATAAGGACTGGTCGGCTCGGAGTCGGTATAATGTGTCTGAGTGGGGTATTCATGCTTCACTGCAACATGGTATCTCAGTGGGCTAGCACTATAAAACCAGCTTAAGTCTCGGCTAGTACAAGCAGCCGCACATACACATACACTCGCATGCACGTCATCATATGAGCGAAATATTCTCAAGCACGACGTAAAACCCAATTTCACCTCACCTCACCCCACCTCACCTCACCCCACCTCACCTCACCCCACCTCACCTCACCTTTTGATCAAACATTAAATGGCCTGCAGGCCAAGTATAAAATACCCATCGTGTCGGAAAGTGCATGTAAATATCCAAATCAACATCATCACCTTCCACCATTCTGATGTTAGTAAGCCATGTGCTGACATTCTGACCTTCTGTTGCTAATTTGAGTTCGATTCCAGTGGTTGTTGATATTCTGATGCAACAGCCTCTTTATGAGAGCAGAAATTTTGAAATAGTGTTTTATGAAAATTGTAAGGAGTTTTTGACTGCAATATTTGTTGATTATCTTACATAGTTGTTTCAAACTGTTTTGGTTCTTCTAAAAGTAGGATCGTGAAAATTAGATATGAAAGGAATGTTTGTTTAAATAAGCTGTATTGTATAGGGATAGTCATCTCAAAGATTAGTGGGGGCGGTGGGGTAGCCTAGTGGTTGTGGTGTTCGCTCATCACGCTGAACACCCGGGTTCAATTCCCTACATGGTACAATATGTGAAGCCCATTTCTGGTGTCCCGCCGTGATATTGCTGGAATACTGCTAAAAGCTGCGTAAAAACCAACTCACTCACTCACTCAAACATTACTTCTGCTTTATGGTATGAAACTGTCAGATCTTACTTAGGTAGATTTGTGTTTCCATAGGAACGGTTTTATTGAATATTCAATGCCCAGAAATATCATATGGAACTTGTAGTTAGCCTTGAGATGTTACTTCTGCTTTAGGCTGGTGGCCCTTTCTGCTAATTGAGATGTACATTCATCTGAAGCAAATCTCTCAACAACATCCCCTACGTTATCAAAACTCTTGCCAGCTGTCTAGTTTACTTTGATTTTTGTTGTTCAACCTGATACTTGAACTCAAATGCGCTTCTAGAGGATTCTGTACACGTTAACATTATGCATAAGATATCTTTAGACCTTGGTCACAATTACCAATCTTAGTCTAAGAATGTCAAATGATGCAAGACGTCCCAAGACGACTCTAGACTCTGAACTAATTTAGATTGACTGTTTTTGACCTCGCTAAGTCATCAGATCTCAAGCCGAAGTAATGAGGAGGCTCCCCGAATCATTATTCTCTCTTACTCATATTTGTTTATCTCTCTGTTGCAGACTTTTCTTCATCGGAGCTCAGAACAATCATATGCCCCACTTCATGGGCATGATCCAGTACAAGTACCTCACCCCGGCCTCATCACTGTTTGTCATTGTAAGTGTTGACAGGTGCCCCTTGTACAAGTACCTTACCCCGGCCTCATCACTGTTTGTCATTGTAAGTGTTGACAGGTGCCCCTTGTACCAGTACCTCACCCCGGCCTCATCACTGTTTGTCATTGTAAGTGTTGACAGGTGCCCCTTGTACCAGTACCTCACCCCGGCCTCATCACTGTTTGTCATTGTAAGTGTTGACAGGTGCCCCTTTTACCAGTTTCTCACCCCAGCCTCATCACTGTTTGTCATTGTAAGTGTTGACAGGTGCCCCTTGTACCAGTACCTCACCCAGGCCTCATCACTGTTTGTCATTGTAAGTGTTGACAGGTGCCCCTTGTACAAGTACCTCACCCTGGCCTCATCACTGTTTGTCATTGTAAGTGTTGACACGTGCCCCTTGTAAAGGTACCTCGACCCGGCCTCATCACTGTTTGTCATTGTAAGTGTTGACAGGTGCCCCTTGTAAAGGTACCTCACCCCGGCTTCATCACTGTTTGTCATTGTAAGTGTTGACAGGTGCCCCTTTTACCAGTTTCTCACCCCAGCCTCATCACTGTTTGTCATTGTCACTGTTTGTCATTGTAAGTGTTGACAGGTGCCCCTTGTACCAGTACCTCACCCCGGCCTCATCACTGTTTGTCATTGTAAGTGTTGACAGGTGCCCCTTGTAAAGGTACCTCACCCCGGCCTCATCACTGTTTGTCATTGTAAGTGTTGACAGGTGCCCCTTGTACCAGTACCTCACCCCGGCCTCATCACTGTTTGTCATTGTAAGTGTTGACAGGTGCCCCTTGTACAAGTACCTCACCCCGGCCTCATCACTGTTTGTCATTGTAAGTGTTGACAGGTGCCCCTTGTACCAGTTTCTCACCCCGGCCTCATCACTGTTTGTCATTGTAAGTGTTGACAGGTGCCCCTTGTACAAGTACCTCACCCTGGCTTTATCACTGTTTGTCATTGTAAGTGTTGACAGGTGCCCCTTGTAAAGGTACCTCACCCCGACCTCATCACTGTTTGTCATTGTAAGTGTTGACAGGTGCCCCTTGTAAAGGTACCTCACCCCGGCCTCATCACTGTTTGTCATTGTAAGTGTTGACAGGTGCCCCTTGTACCAGTACCTCACCCCGGCTTCATCACTGTTTGTCATTGTAAGTGTTGACAGGTGCCCCTTTTACCAGTTTCTCACCCCAGCCTCATCACTGTTTGTCATTGTCACTGTTTGTCATTGTAAGTGTTGACAGGTGCCCCTTGTACAAGTACCTCACCCCGGCCTCATCACTGTTTGTCATTGTAAGTGTTGACAGGTGCCCCTTGTACCAGTTTCTCACCCCGGCCTCATCACTGTTTGTCATTGTAAGTGTTGACAGGTGCCCCTTGTACCAGTACCTCACCCCAGCCTCATCACTGTTTGTCATTGTAAGTGTTGACAGGTGCCCTTGTACCAGTACCTCACCTCACCCGGCCTCATCACTGTTTGTCATTGTAAGTGTTGACAGGTGCCCTTGTACCAGTACCTCACCCCGGCCTCATCACTGTTTGTCATTGTAAGTGTTGACAGGTGCCCCTTGTACAAGTACCTCACCCCGGCCTCATCACTGTTTGTCATTGTAAGTGTTGACAGGTGCCCCTTGTACCAGTTTCTCACCCCGGCCTCATCACTGTTTGTCATTGTAAGTGTTGACAGGTGCCCCTTGTACCAGTACCTCACCCAGGCCTCATCACTGTTTGTCATTGTAAGTGTTGACAGGTGCCCCTTGTACAAGTACCTCACCCTGGCTTCATCACTGTTTGTCATTGTAAGTGTTGACAGGTGCCCCTTGTACAAGTACCTCACCCCGGCCTCATCACTGTTTGTCATTGTAAGTGTTGACAGGTGCCCCCTTGTACCAGTTTCTCACCCGGCCTCATCACTGTTTGTCATTGTAAGTGTTGACAGGTGCCCTTGTAGGTGCCCTTGTACCAAGTACCTCACCCGGCCTCATCACTGTTTGTCATTGTAAGTGTTGACAGGTGCCCCTTGTACAAAGTACCTCACCCTGGCTTCATCACTGTTTGTCATTGTAAGTGTTGACAGGTGCCCTTGTACCAGTACCTCACCCGGCCTCATCACTGTTTGTCATTGTAAGTGTTGACAGGTGCCCCTTTTACCAGTTCCTCACCCCAGCCTCATCACTGTTTGTCATTGTAAGTGTTGACAGGTGCCCCTTGTAAAGGTACCTCACCCCGGCCTCATCACTGTTTGTCATTGTAAGTGTTGACAGGTGCCCCTTGTACAAGTACCTCACCCCGGCCTCATCACTGTTTGTCATTGTAAGTGTTGACAGGTGCCCCTTGTAAAGGTACCTCACCCCGGCCTCATCACTGTTTGTCATTGTAAGTGTTGACAGGTGCCCCTTGTACCAGTACCTCACCCTAGCCTCATCACTGTTTGTCATTGTAAGTGTTAAGAGGTGCCCCCATCATCATCATCATCATCATCATCATCATCATCATCGTAATCATCATCACTGTGAAACATGCTTTGACTTCCCAACTTTATGTTTTGGGACTGAAAACATTTGTGGATAATGTCATGTCTGATGACTTACAGAGTAAATACAATTTGTCAGCCACTGTGATGATCCTCTGTGATGTCTTGTAATTCATATTCCTCTTGTTGCAGTTGGCTCTAGTCGTATGTTTCCAGTCATCCAATGATATTTGGTATCTGATCGAGATGGAGGGTTTCGGGTTTGCCACTGTGCTCACAGTGGTGTTTGCTGGACAGGCCTATCTCAGATACAAGGAACCGGACATGAAGAGACCCATCAAGGTTAGTTGACAGGGGTCATGACGGGGTCATTGTGCTGTTAGGTGCCACAACCAATATTGCAGAGTTGGGTCACAATAAGTATAAAACATCAGTGGACGAGACTTATCCAGTCTTTAGTCAGATTCAGGTTGGATAAGAGGCAAAATACCTGAAATTGAATGAATGGCCCAAAAAATCAGTGATGACACCAGGTGTTGATGAAAAGGTAATCATATCCTGACCTAACAGTTGCATCTACCAGTCACTATTAAAGTAATTATTAGATTTTTTGTACAAACTTTTTACTGTTTGGCATGAAAGGCATTTTGTTTTCTTTTAAACAAATTCTTTGAGGTTTCAATACGTTAATTGTTGCCCACAGCTATTCCCCTTAATCTGCAGCCATTTGTAAAGAAGCAATCATGTCATGCACGATGGACAGTGATGGAAATATATTTGCATATTTATAAGACTCTTCATTGCCCCATTTACCTCTAGTCAAAAGTGACCAGCGAGGATCCAGGTTAGAATTGGTCTTCAGTAACCCATGCTTGTCGTAAGAAGCGACTAACGGGATCGGGTGGTCAGGCTCGCTGACTTGGTTGACACATGTCATCGTATCCCACTCACTCACTCTAGTCATAACGTACAACATCAAGCAGATGCCATGATATGACTGTGCAAAGTTGTGTTAAGGCAAACTCACTCATGTATGACCTCTTTGTCTTCCTCTCATGAGCAGATTAAGATGCAGCGAACTGGATCGAGTGGTCGAGCCCGCAGATTTGGTTGACATATGTCATTGTCATCCAAATAGCGCAGATTGTTGCTCATGATGTTAGTCACTGGATCGTCTGGTCCAGATTATTTACAGACCGCTGTCATGTGGCTAGAATATTGCTGAGTAAAGCGTTACACAACAAACAAAGAATGGTTTGAAAAATGTTTAAAATTGATGTGTTGCAATTAAATTTGGTACTGTATGCAAGTGTATATTGTAGAAGGTCAATTTATCTTGTATGTCGTTAAGAGGGATCTTCGAGTAAAATATTATGCTGAAACAGTCACAAAAATTGAATCAATTGCTGTTCTAAGTCTGTTTTCTCTGATCTTCAGGTCCATGTTGCGCTCCCCATAAGCCTGTGCATCATCAGCTTCGCCATCGTTGTGCTCACATTCTACCAGAAACCATCCGAAAGCTTGATGGCTCTTGGCCTCATCGCTCTTGGCTCCGCCCTATATATCATTGGCAACAGGTGGCAGAACAAACCAAGAGAACTCCAGACCAAGATCAGTGAGTTATGCTGCAAATTTACTAAGGTCCTCAAAATATTTGGGGTTTCCTTGGTCAGAATTATGACCAGCCACCTACGATTGTCATACGCGAAAACTTATGCATTGAGTGGTCAAACTAAGTGTCATAGTTGATTGGAATTGTTTGATCCAGATTGCTAGGCCTAAGAAAAATATGTTGTCGTTCCGATTACCCGACCGACCCTTGAATTCTGGTGCTGACCCTAACTTTTTTATGCGGTATAAATGAAATAAGCCTTTAGATACCATTGTTTTTTCCTAGCACTGATCGACATCGGTCATTCTGATAGGGAAAGTTAATATAATGATCCAAAACCTTGATTGAATAGACAATTATACATTGATAAATGTGTTATTAGCTTGTACTTTACGTCTTTAAAAAAATGTTAATTAAAAAAAATCCTACCTACCTACCCTAAAGTTTAAAGAGGTGTAATCGGAACCACAACATTTTTTTTATTTGGCCCTATCATTATTGGAATATTGCCCAGAGACTGACAAACAATCAAGCCCTTCGTAAGACTCATTTAAGATGGTACATATCTTGTCAAGATGGTCTCCGTAAACCCATACTATTTAGTATGTATCAATTTTGTTCTTTTATATTCCGGGAAGGATTTTTACAGCCTTTTGTTTAGTGATATTTATCTACATATTTCATTAAAAGACTGCTGTCTGTTTCAGATTCTATCAACACCTTCTTTCAAAGACTGTTCTTGGTGATACCACCAGACAACCCTGATGATGTGGACTGGGAATAATCTCCCCTTCTGTGAACCTACGTTGGGAGTAACCTCCCCTTCTGTGAACCTACATTGGGAGTAACCTCCCTTTTTATGAGACTTGAGAGTAGCCTCCCCTGCTGTGGAAATGGACTGGGACCATATTGCCCCAAAGGCAAAAAGTATAAGTTGTATCTTTGCTTTCTGCAGAAGGAAGATTGCTAATTGACATGTGAAATATAGGATTTATATTATGTTTAGTGTGTACATTTTGCATGAGTTCATGTTTACATGTCGTGTAAAAGGTAACAATTGAAGAAAAACACAGCAAACTATCTTCGACGACTGACCAAAGGGTCATCAGGTGCTCATAACAATTAAAGTTCTGGTACAAAGCTTTCATTTGCAGAAACCAACAGAATACTTCTGATCACCTTCAGATATTCATTTCCCAGGGCATTACAAGAGTTAGTACCCCATACAGCATATCCATTGCTTTTGTCAAAATCAGTGTTTGATTTGTTTGGGGGCATTCTACAGGGATTTTAGAACACCTGACAGACATTTGTCCCGTACCTGCAGCTAGAGTCAGTAAATATACCCAAATTGAAATGATCCCCAATTTAATAACTGCCTCCTGAATGGATTGGTCGAGGTGACTTGTATAACAGGACCAGTAAAAAAGAAACTTAATTTCACTTTATTGAATTTAGTTCATTGTTAAAGTATTTTGAGCTAAACAATTTTGACCAGCGGGCTACCCAAGGGTAGTTTGCATCCAAGTTGAAAACCTGTTCAGCTGTCCTGAAATAGGACAGTGTGAATCATGGATCTTCCATACATACTGACCAACTGTCATGTTTTAAAATGTTCATGTTGTTTTCTGTGCCTTAACTGATTTATAAGCATTTCAAGTGTGCTTTCATTGTGTCACAAGTGTGGTAGCAGGTTGAGTGTGGTTGGAACTCTTATCCGAGTGTATGCGAAAACTGTGAGAGAGTCTATGGTTACCGTTCTTCACTTACATCATCATGCACATATCCCTTTTAGGCAGTTTGTATGCTTCGAGTAGTAATAACTGTTCCTTTATAGCGATCATGCTCTTGTTCATTTATGTTGTATTTATTCATCTTTTAAGCTGTTGTGACCATATTTGTAGTTTTGCCTAGCTTTATCATGTTTGAATAATGTCCATTGATTTAAATAGGACACATTGACATCACTTCATAAATGCATTGACAGTATTATGGATTGACATGGTTTTGGTGTTGCAGCTTGAAGTAAGCTTACAGTACCTGTTCAATCAGTGACATCACCAGTGTGTGGTATTGAGTGAGGATACAACTTGACAGCTTAATGGGGGGGGGGGATGCAAGCCTATGTCAGCCTATTAAGATACTGGGGTTGGCTCACAGCAGGCATTACATTTAAACAAACTTAAGTCTGAGTTTTTACTTGAGTTTGAGTTTTTACTCAAATTTGGGAAACAGCAGGAAAATGCATTTCCCAGAACGAACTGAAATTGATATCAAACGTAAACATGGTAAACAATTTGAGCTTGATGGATAGATTACTTAAGTTGTTTGAGCTTTTTTATTTTAAAAATGCAGTTGAGTTAAAATTTCAGCGGTTTTAAATTGACAAACTCAGTTTGAAATTTGAGTAAAAAATGTTTGTTAAATAGTGTTAAATATTAAAAACCTAAGTTTGTTTCGAGAAATCAGGCTTGATTTGCTGACTGTTTAGTCTGTGTGAGATTTGCTGACTGTTTAGTCTGTGTGAGATTTGCTGACTGTTTAGTCTGTGTGAGATTTGCTGACTGTTTAGTCTGTGTGAGATTTGCTGACTGTTTAGTCTGTGTGAGATTTGCTGACTGTTTAGTCTGTGTGAGATTTGCTGACTGTTTAGTCTGTGTGAGATTTGCTGACTGTATAGTCTGTGTGAGATTTGCTGACTGTTTAGTCTGTGTGAGATTTGCTGACTGTTTAGTCTGTGTGATTTGCTGAGTTTAGTCTGTGTTTGCTGACTGTTTAGTCTGTGTGAGATTTGCTGACTGTTTAGTCTGTGTGAGATTTGCTGACTGTTTAGTCTGTGTGAGATTTGCTGACTGTTTAGTCTGTGTGAGATTTGCTGACTGTTTAGTCTGTGTGAGATTTGCTGACTGTTTAGTCTGTGTGAGATTTGCTGACTGTTTAGTCTGTGTGAGATTTGAATGATTCCATGACATGACCTTAATCATTATACAAGATACTGGTACCGCTTTTTCAGCCTAGTTGTACCAGAAATTCTCAGATCAGAATCCAGTACAAGGTGGTCTATTAAGTATGACAATTGTATGTTCCATTCTTGAACGTAGTCTTAGATCTAAGATGATTTTGTGAAAATGCAAAGAAATTTTGTGATAGTTGATTCTAGTATTTGTAGAAATTCACGTCATTACAACTTGTGACCAAGATATGTGTTTACTCACATCACTGTCTCATGATGCTTCAATGCTGCCATGACTAATGTGTTCCATGTTTTGTCTTGATTACTCAAGTGCTTGATGGGCATTTAGAAGTTGGAAAGTAACATAACAACGTATGGTATGGATTTACAACTTCTTTATTATTTGCAACATGACGTTTCCGGGCTACTTCTTGCCTCTTTATCAGATGAATGGTGAAGGGATGATGAAGGGGTAAGAAGTAGCCCAGAAGCGTTGTGTTGTATATAACTATGCCAAAAACTAACCAATGCATTATCTATTTCAATCATATGTTCATGAAAACAGTCCATCTACTTGTATATTTTTTGTGTTCCAGAATGTGGTTATAAACATACAATAGTGAGTGATAAACACTGGCTTTAGAATGAAAGAACAGTAGACATTTTCAAGACTTCGGACTTGGTTTCCAACTGTAAGAAATGCTGTATGTGATTGAAAACATGTTTTTCTTTGCATTCTTGTACTTTTATTCTTGTCTATTCTATCAATTTGAGAGATTTTGTCAGGGTTATCCACAGGTAATGTGACAAGATTTCTACATATGATGGAGCTTCACACCCTGTTGTCATGTTGACTAGGAAGACTATGTAAAACAAGTTGATTTAATTGTATTGATGATACATAACACAGTTGTATTTGTTTCTTTCTTTCAACAATTTTTATTGTTTGCACTAGCGTTAACCAACCCCACAGAATTACATAAATGTGTAAACTTGGTCTCGTCACAATAGCTGAAACAATGTGATGCAATGTTAAATTTTAACCTGCACGCTTTCTTCGGAAATTAAGGGATTTGCTGGTGTATTTTAGGGTTTGCTTGTTTTAGTCCAAAATGTTCCTGAAGGATGTTTGATTGGCTTTTTAGAAGATGCTATTTGATGGTTTGGTATGTTTCAGGGCTTGTTCTGGCGCCCTCATCAGGAAGAACTAAAGAACAGTAACAGTTCCTTAAGGATATTTATATTTTCATCTGTGTGCCATAGTGCTTCTTGAGTGCCTGTTATTCTTGTGGGATGTGACATAATGGTGTATATATGTATTATTTTATGTCGTGTGTATATGTGGAGAATATGTCTATAGTTATCTATTATCTTGACATACCCTACTATGCTTGCTTCTAGCATTGTCTAGTGCTTGTGATGACACTGTTACAAAATAACAGTAGTTTGCTTTTATGTTATTTATGTCCCCCTAGGGAGCCTCGGGTATGATGGGCTTGTATTTCACCTTGCAGTTAAAAGCTTAAACCGAGAGCCTTGGGTTAGGCGGCCCAGTACACTGTGCTTGTAGTAGCAGATGAGTGAAATGGTTTTACAGTTTCGTTGTGTCATTCTGCCATGTTGAGATATGGGGGTGTGTTCAGGCTATCAACCACTGGTCCAGACTTACCTAAGGCTTGTGTGATACAGTTATCATTAGGTCGCTCCTATTTAACACCATATTCACTTATTTGCTCAATCAATCTCCCTCCTTCACTTGTTTTACTTGTCTATGTTGTCACAGTTCTTTCTGTATTATATTGTACAGTTCTCTCCCTTCGTTGTGCCAGGATCATCTAATTGTGGGATCAAATCCCAAGTTCATTCCAATTATTATCTTTCTTTTTTCAATTTTTTCAGCACTGTACCTGCACTCATGGGATTATGTCCCTTAGTTGTGGCAGGATTAACTGATTGTGGGATCAAATCCCTAATTCCTCTGTATTATGATGCTTGATATCTGAGCACTTTATTACCCTTTTGGGGTTATGTCCTCTAGCTTTGCTTGGAGAAGATATTGTGGGAAGAAATCCCAAATTCCTCCAAACCATTATCCTCTATTTGTCAGCACAATTCCCATGTTCACTGGGTTTATCAAGCAGCAATTGATCGATAATTAGTGAATGATTATCAGTCAATTAAACCAGATTTCTGCCGTCTCTATTTTGTAAGCTATACTTTTGGCATAATCACAATAATATCATTTTGACACTGAAAGAAAACTTACATGCAAGTTCTGAAGGAACCTATTTCACATCAATTCATGTTTTCTCTAGCAGCATAAAAACAGTTTCCATGACAACACAGTTTGTAAATAATTATTGGGATTAAAAGAAAATTGTCTCTAACCTATAGCTCCTTATTTCTTTAAATCCTGTTGGATTCCTTACCTCTATGACATCATATCCATAAATTCCTGTTTGGCTGTTTGTCATGCTATATATTTTGTTGAAAATGTTCAAGGGACGTCCTCTTCACTGCCAACATATCTTAATAGTTGTGAGGATAACAATTCTATTTCTATTTCCCCATAACCCCAGGATACTAGAAGGTCAGTCCCTCTGTGGCGCCATGAATCCAAATGTCTCATTTGTGTAGTTGCAAAACACTAATAGTGTGATATATAGCAATGCTAGTCTAGAGGCCCATAATCCAACAATGCATCTTTTACATTATTTTATTGGCAAGTAAGACTAGCCACATTACCTTTGGCATGCATCTGTCATATTCTGTGTAGTAAGCCCACTGTTACATGTTTTCAGTTTCACATATAGGCAATAAGACTTCATTTTCAATGAGACTATAGTTACTGATCATTTCAATGCAGGAATCTATGTTCTGACTCTCACAGGGAATTCAAAATGATTTCAAGATTTGCTGTCTGGAAAAATATGTGTGCACAGGAAAATACTTTTAAAATACACTTTTTACTTCCCTTTCCCTGTTGTTAAGATAATAACCTTATTATGTGCATGTCCATGTGCATGTCCAGGGAGAAAGAATATTTTTCACTGCTTCTTTTAATTAAATTTCTAAAAGTACCCTTCCTTCACAAGGAACTTATTTTAATGGTGCCAGTGGCCGCTTTTAAAAGGAATTTTGGTTTTAATTCCTGATGATATCTTAGACAATCTCCATGTGTTTATATAAAGACATAAACCTTTAATTGTTAGTTGTGGAGCTTTTATGAGAGCGGGGCACTTATTGCATACATTTGGCTAGATTGTCTTCATTGTATCCTTTTATCACATGCCACCATATTCTGCCCTTATGTATTTTAGTAAAAGTGTGAATATGTTCTGCCATATTTTGTATCCATTTTTAAATGGTTAAGTTAGTTACATATGATTTGGTATCATCCGTGAAATTGTATTTAATGAGTTTCCTACAGGATGTGACATCAAGTTGATTTAAAAATGCTAAATTATTCCACATTGTGAAACTGTGAGTATGTTCTGCAATATGATATGGTTGAAAAAAGTGGTAATATGGAATGAAAGTTGCCACTGTTTCAGATGATTGATGGTCACGTACGAGTTCGAATGGGGTAGTCTAGTGGTTAAAGCGTTGCCTTGTCACCGAAGACCCGGTTGATTGACATGGGTACAATGTGTTAAGCCCATTTTCTGGTGTCCCCGCCGTGATATTGCTGGAATATTGCTAAAAGCAGCGTAAAACTAAACTCAGTCAGTATTGATTGATAACATAACAATGTATGGTATTGATTTAAAACTTCTGTATTATTTTCTAGGGATACTTCTTGCACCTTCATCAGGTTCACTCACATGGTGAAGGGCCAAGAAGTAGCCCAGAAACGCCATGTTGTAAATGATTATAAAATAAGTTGTAAATAATACCATACACTGTTATGTTGCCTCAGTGTGTCATGGTCTATACCTCCTTCGGGGCACCTTTGGCCCTGGTACCTAAGGCCAAAAGTTTGTTCCTGACAGATGCGTCCCCTGAAACTTAAAATTGTGGGTTCAATCCTGGTTTGCCCTGATTATGATTCCTGGTTTCTCATGTAATACTGTTACTGTTAGACCCAGTCGTCAGTATTAATGAACACTTACCCTCCCTTCTTCTCTCTCCTCTTCCTCTTCCTCTTTGGTTGACAAATGTCATCGGTTCCCAATTGCGCAGATCGATGCTCATGCTGTTGATCACTGGATTGTCTGGTCAGACTCGACCCATTTACAGACCAACGCCATATAGCTGGAATATTGCTGGAGTGCGGCGTAAAACTAAACTCACTCACTCACTCCTCTTCCTCTTCCTCTCTCTCTCCCACCCCTCTTTGACCCGGTGAAGATCCAGGTTTTGAAGAATTGGTCTTCAGCAATCCATGCTTGTCGAGAGGCTACTAATAGGGATCGGGTGGTCAGGGTCACTGGCTTGGTTGACACATTATTTCCAGACTGTCGCCATATAGCTGGAATATTGCTGGGTACGATGTCAAACTAACGCACTCACTCACTCACTCACTAATCCCTCCTTCACCCACACAACACAACTGATGGCCCTGCACTATCTTGTAGTGTTAGCAGATAAGTCAGTAGAGCTGTTGGCACTATGGTAAGAGTTGACCTTCATAGTCTCCTGTACAACATTGGCAGATAAGATAGATAATAACATGAGACCTGTCCACACTGCAGACGACTTATCTAACCACAGGTAATCTACTCACCTGGCTAGTTCAGATAGTGTCAGGTGTCTGGGATTGCTTTCTTGATTAGTATAATTTCATTTCTTGGTTCCAGTTTTGTCAATTGACTAAGTGTCAAGTGTAGCGTATTCATTACACATGGAATAATATTCATCAGAACGGTTCAGGTCCATGTGTCATGGGAGCAATGACTTCACCTACGGGTGTTTTAGGGACATTTGGGGATTTCATTAAAAATTCAGGCATGCAATCTCAATAATAACACCCAAAAATCTTAAGATCAGCATATTTTACGGAGTGCAGGTGACAGAATTATAGCCTCTTTGACCATATTTTAATCTAAGTTTTTATCTTCTTCCTCCATGAAAGTGTTTTCTTCCAAAATGCTTGACACAAGGGCAGGGACTTTGATTTTATCTTAACTGTTTTCCCAAAGTAACTGACGATTTCCTTCTTAATATGTGTCCCAAAGGCAGTGAGGTCCTGTGTTCTGTTTGCAGAGTTCTGTTTCATCACAAATTAAACAACAGGACAAATTCTGTATCAGTAGAGCAGAATAAACCGCAACATGCTGAGGTTGGTACTAACTGAAATAAAGTCAAAATCAGGCACCTTCCAAGTCACAATCTGTGGGTAGCTTTTAAACTGAAGTTCAGGGACATCATGATGTGTCATGTTGTGTGCCCAGTAAATCCCCGCCGCATTGATGCAGACAAACATGAAACTAACGAGAGAAACCAAGTGTCATAATCAGTCAAATCAGCAGATCCTGGTGTCCTTCAGGGAGACAACTCTTGCACTTCAAAATCAGAACCTCCGATGAACATTTGTCATCAGGTTATGATGTACTGACCTGCATGTAGCGACAGTTTTGAGACTACTTAACATGCCAATTCTTCAGTGACAGTTTTCAACTCCTGTTTTTTAATGTAGGTCTGACCTGTTTGTGATTGATTAGTGACATTATTTTTAAGATTTTTAGAATGTGTGAATACAAAAGCATGTTTTGTTGTTCTACAACCGTGACTCCCATGGTGTTTGTTCAGGAAATAGTTACAAGTTTGTTCAGTGTTATTTATGATGCTGTCATTGTACATAGAGGACATATCATTAGATATTTAAGATCAGTCTTATCGGCAGTAACTTATTTGTTGAATTTCAAGATAGGTTCAACTAGTTGCGCAAGGAAGTGGTGCATTTCTGTCGTAGGATTGCTACCCATATATTGTAAGGATTTTGGAACAGATTGGATGATTGATAGTAAGAAGCATTTTGAAGCTGTGAATCAGTGAAGGCAAGGCTGACTTATGGACTTCTGTTACAGTGACATGTTTCAGTGTATGTGCTTATGATTTCATTCAGAAGGAGGGGCGATGGGTAAGCCTAGTGGTGAAGGCGTTCGCTCGTCACGCCGAAGACACAGGTTCAATTCCCAATGGACACAATGCGTGAAGCCCATTGGTATCCCCTGCCGTGATAGTGCTGGAATATATGCTAAAGGCAGCGTAAAATTAATTTCACTCACTCGTTCTGAAAGTGAATTTCCACCTTTCCCAGACACTTCACTGAAACAATAAAGACGTTGAAGCCCTTAAGTCAACCAAGCCTTCATGGTTGATAATACATAATGAAATATGAATCAATTGCAGTGATACCAGTGAAGTAACCTTAATATTTTGTATTTAGGGATGCATTAGCAGACACTGAAACCAAGAGGAAATCCTGATTGTTTCAAAGGAGGTCCCCATTTTGGATTTTACTGGTCCACACACAATCAAATACGAGGAGTTCACGCTCCCATGATACAACAATGTATGCTTCACAATGTTCATCGTATGAGTTCACAATGTTCAATTGCATCCGACCTGAAGCAAAAGCCACATCATAAAAAGATAGCCTTTTTAACAGGACACAAAATTCAAATGAAACAAGTAATACTTCACTTTTCAAAAAAAATGTTTGATGTTTATAGTTTTTACCACTTGTGTAGAACAACCTTCTCAGACAAACACTACCAAATATATTCTAAACGGAAAAAGGAACTAGTAGAGAAGCCACTATAGTCTGTTTGCAGTGAAAACGTACCGATGAATTTTAATTCAAACAAACATATAAATCAAATAACGTAAAATTAAGATTGCGAATCCTCATAATTTTACCTTGCCATTTGAACGTTTTAATCTGAGAATTTCATTCAACTTAGGATAAAAGTTGTTTAACAGACGATCATAGTTTCAAATCGTTATTATTGGTTTGTATTACACGGGGGTATGCACATTAATGAAACACCGAGAACAAGAGAGTTGGTTACGCTCATTACGTACTGCACGTGCATTTGTTTCACTGTTTCAACTACTGCGCTTACCCCTTTGTAATGCAAACCAGTAATAGCGATTTGAAACTATGATCGTTTGTTAAACAACTTTTATCTCAAGTTGAAAAATATTCTGAATTTTAAGTGTTCAAATGGCAAGGTATAATTATGAGGATTCGCAATCTTAATTTCACTTCTTTTGATTTACATTTTTGTTTAAAGTGAAATTCATCGGTACGTTTTCACTCCAAACAGACTATAGATTCTATTTCCAGTCGATCAAAGCTTACTTTTTGATATGTAGCCTTGGTATCAGCTGCTAATGCGTGATGTAAAGCAATGTATGGTATCCGCTACCATTCTGCACCGACTGTTTGTTAAACGTTCTAAGTTTGCACCATTTTTTGCACTGATTTTGTGTGACACGTTGCGTAGCTGGAAGACAGATAGTTGCGTGGGTGACGGTGTGATATGTTCCTGCAAGCTGATTTCATTGGTGTTTATATTAAGTACAGTTTGCAGCTCTATTTTTGGAAATAAAACGCTCTTATCTGAAACCTTGTTCAGAACATTCTCTACCAGGCGGGTTGGGTAGCCTAGTGGCTGAAGCAGTCGCTCCTCATGGTGAGTTCGATTCCTTACATTGGTACAATGTTTGAAGCCTGTTTCTGTTGGAATATTGCTGAAAACAGCGTAAAGTTAGACTGTACCATGCTACTACTGACTCGTGAAGATTCGGGTTAGAATTTTCTTTTCTTCAGTAGCCCATGCTTGTAAGAGGAAACTAATGGGATCGGGTGGTCAGGATCGCTGACTTGGATGACTGGTAACAGCACTGATTTGAGCTAGCAGATACATTTATTTATCTTTAAATCTACATTTCATTTGTAGCAAACGTCTAACTGTCAAGGGGTCATTTTATGTAGTCATCTCTATATTCCACTATGGTTTTCAATACACATCTATATTTTTGTCCCCGACCGCAACACTGAACGGGGGACTATGTATTCAGCGGCGTTCGTACGTACTTACGTAAGTCCCGATTCTTGTTAACGCGATATCTCATGAACCGTTGTACCCAATGTCTTCAAATTTGGGTCCCGTGGAGGTCCGGGTTAGAATGAGCCTTCAGTAACCCATGCTTGTCGTAAGAGGCGACTAACGGGATTGGGTGGTCAGGCTCGCTGATTTGGTTGACACATGTCATCGGTTCCCAATTTCGCAGGTCGATGCTCATGCTGTTAATCACTGGATTGTCTGCTCCAAACTGCTGCCATATAGCTGGAATATTGCTGAGTGCGGCGTAAAACTAAACTCACTAACTCACTCACTTTAAATTTGGTAACAGCCTACATTGGATGATTACGCAGACATCAGTCGATTTCGGTGACCTTGACCTCATTTTCAAGGTCACCACGACACTGACCACTTTTCAAACTGATGTAAACGCGATATCTCATAAAATGTTGCACCCAATGTCTTCAATTATGTCGACAGCCAACATTGGGTGATTATGCAGACACCAGTCATTTCTTGTATGTGACCAAAAAATCAAAAGTAGTAAATATGTTATAAATATTTCATTCTTTTTTAGCGGCGGGGGACATTGCCATATTAGTGGCAAACACACATGTTCTAGACGTTTTACAATCTTTAAGCAAATGACTTTGGAGTGTTCTCTGAAAAGTACTTATATTTAAAGTGCATATCCGATTACGTCAAAGTTTGTAGACATGTAATCACCAAAGGATGGACCTGTTGAAATATTGCTCCACATCACGGGTGACTATTTGAAAGTTGATGAGATCCTCATGTAATGTCTCCTTTTCCTGAAGGAGGGAATGCTTCTGGTTACTTTAATATGGCAGATAGAACGCCATATGGGTTTCCATTATCTTTTCAAACTGAGGTAAAAATAAACTGAGGCTGATATAATCTTGGCATGTTCTAACATCTGCCAAATTCTGTAAGGTTGAGGTGTGTGTGTGTGTGTGTTGAACAGACGCCAGCTTTGTCGTTATGTTGATACACTGTAAGTTAGCGATTATCTCCCTTTCCTGAACAACTCTACTGCGCTCTTGCTTTACAATGGTTAGCGTTTTATTCGGGCAGCCGAAACTGGGGAAGGAATTGAAGTCAAACATGTAACTCAAATTCGACCCCTTTACACACTCCTGGGCTGGTGGGTGTATATTGCATGAATACATTGTGGGCATCATTGTCGATAATGGAGGAATTAGCCAGAAACATAGCTGGCCCGTCATGGCCCGACATTTAGGTAATCCCAGTTTGCGGGTTAGAAAGCTCCTCGGCCTTTACCCTAATCGCCCTGTTCGCAGATGACAACCTCACTTAATGCCATAATAGACGATCCTGATGAAACTGCTCTGTGTTTTAATAATGATCTATGAAAAATTTCCGATTGGGCTGACAAATGGCAAGTTACATTTAATCACAATAAAACAGATTCTACCAAGTTTTCTCATAAAATACAGCCCAGCCCAAAACGAAATATAATAATGAAGGATAGTAATATTACTGACGTTAATATACTGAACACCATTGAAAACGCACCAGATTATGAAAGCACGTGTAAGGAATTGATATGTTTTGAGTTCAACGTCTCCGTCTCCTCATTGAGTCAATAAGCGTCCGAAAAGAGTTCTTGAGGATGGCATTCCACTTCTGCAGTAGTGCAGCCTCAAGTTCCCGGATGTTCCGCATCAGTTGTCGCCGCGATAAACTTTGACCAATTTCGTCCCACAAGTGCTCCATGGGTGATACATCTTGTGACTGTGCTGGCCAATGAATAACCTGGATGTGTTGTTGGGCCAGATACTGCATGGAAAGTCTTGTGTGTGCCCGTGCGTTGTCCTTTTGAAAAGTATGGACATCTTGGTGGTAATTGAAGACAGATACAATGTGATTCTGAAGAATTTGCTCACGGTAATAAACGGGCATTAACACTCCCTTGACAGGCATGAAGGCAGTCCTGTGATTGTAATTTATTCCACCCCAGACCATGACACTCCCACCACCCAAAGGTCTGTCTGAACCACACACTCATCAGCATAACGTTCACCACGTCTACGCCAAACACGTAATCGGCCGTCAGCATTACGTAGATGAAGACGTGACTCGTCAGTGACTACCACACCATGCCATTGTTGTAACCTTTACTGAAAATGCCAGTCAGAACTGGTCCAACGTAAGGACGTCGAGCATGGAGCCCTGTTGCGTGTAGACGGCGTCGCATGGAGTCAGCGCTGATGACCCCCACGTCAACCTTGAACTAGTGCAGCAGTCCTGGCAGTCGGCAGTGTTCAATCACTGATATGGACAAGGTCAATATGGCGATCCTGATGGAGCGTCGTAACACGTTGTTGCCAAGGTCATTGAAGGTCACGGGTGCTGCCTGTCTACTGATGTCGTCTATGAAGCCTAAAGATGGTGGAGTGGCCAAGTCCAAGTTGTCGAGCAATATCCCTGCTGCTGGTGCCAACCTGAATCGTGCCTAGTACACGTTCTCTTTTGTGAGGTGTTAACCTCGGCATATCTGTCCTCGTTTCACAATCGTTAGTGAAGCAATGAGAATCGGTTCTCATACACCTGCTTTTAATGTCACAGTCAGTATGATTTCAGAATGAAATTCGCGCTTGTTTCATGGCGTGGCTGCATGTTGATGGGTTTTGGAATTAAGAGTCATACTGTGGACAGGAATTTGTTTCTAAAGCATTTTTTTCAACTGGACATGCCCTTCGACTTCATGTTAGTTATATTCATTGATCATTGTAATGCTGAAATCCATCTTGATGACAATATGGACAATTTTAGACTGGTGAGTTTTCAATGATGTTCAGTATAGTTATAAAAATTTGGTCCTAACTTGACAGAATCATTGTTCCTGGACTGACCATGTTAATTGTGTCGCTAAAAATGCTGCACCCACGGTAAACACGGTCTTTGAGGTTTTAAATATCGCCTCTTACGTAAAACCTTACAAAAATGTATTCTCGATTATTGTTGTCACATTTGGGACAATTGTACCAAACAGTGCCATGTAGCTGGAATATTGCTGAGAGCGGCGTAAAACAAAACAAAACTCACTTGTACCAAACAGCAAGCACTAACACTTGAAAAACTTCATCTCGATGCACTTAGAACTATTCACGGTGCTGTTCGCGGTACCACTCAAAACAGAATTTATGATGAGACCAATTTCCAACCACTATGCACACGAAGATACATAAAAAACTAACTTTTTAAAATAAAATGAATAACAATTCAACTCCAAAATTTTGAGTAATCTCGCCCCTCCTTAGGTGTCTGCTATTAAAAGTGCAAATTATGCCAAAATTATGCCCCTGCGTTTCCCAATCCCTGACGGGGGTGTCATAAATTGCACATAAATTTAGGGGGGTCATTGACATTATATCTGTTTCTCAAAATAAACTCATCATCATCATTATCATCACACTCCCGCCATAAATTATGAACGGTCCCTAAGGAATGCAGATTGTAAGAATGTAGTGTTTATTCCTTTTATAGAACATTCATCACATCAAAACGAAATCGGCACCAATTGTGGCCACTTAACAATGGAAGCCAGTAATTAATTTAATTGGCGCTGATTGGTAATGATAATAAAGAAAGAGAAGCCAGGGGTATGAGTCGCTACTTGACTTGTCCCGGAAATAACACGAGTTAGTCAAGTATGGACCATCTCGTGTTATTCGGGGTCAAGCAGAATGGCGGTACTTTACGGATAGATGCGAGTGCATTCGTAACCAACTCGTGGTATTACGGGACAAGCCGAATAGTGACTCGTGCCTCTCTGGAAGGATTTCATATTTGCGCATGAACATCAGAACTACTTTAAACAAGAACGATAACTCTATTCCTGTTTGATTCCAATGGTACTTTATATCACCGAAGCACTCGTATATTATATTGCTGTTGTTTTTGTTTGTTTTATTTTGTTTTTGTTTTTGTTGTTGATTTTATTTGTTTGTTTGTTCTTGTTGTTCATTTGTTTTTGGGGGTTGGGGGGTGTTTGTTTTTTTTACTTCTTTATTTTACAGAATTAAACCTATTTGATACAACTGGAAGCAGAAAAACATATTTTTTAAAGTCGAGAACGAAAGAATTGAAGTCAAGTATGTAACTCAAATTCGACCCCTTTACACACTCCTACAGGGGTGGGAGGGATGGTAGTAGGTAGCCTAGTTACTAAAGCGTTCGCTCGCTGTTTTTTTTAACTCATGCTTTCTTCAATCCCGTCACGATAATGCTATCTTGTCTTGTTCTATGTGTACCAAATTCAACTGATTAGGAAAGCCTCCAAAATATATTGTTGTTACTAAAGTACTGTCGGACATAGAAGAAACCCTGTTTTTTCGCATTTATATCTACAATTTATGTAGTTAATATATGAAAGTGAGAAATATCTGTTAAACAAAGTTCGGCCTAACTACAGTCTCAGTGGTAGGGAGATAGGAAACGTACAAAAGGGACTTTACTGAGGAGAGATTAGTGCAGAAATGAGCAATGTGATTTTTTCTCAGTCCATGTGACATATTTGGAACAGGCCATGGCTTTATGCAAATTTATGTGCGATGATATTGTATTACAAAGGACACTTTTTAAATGCCCATTTGGTAATTAACCTTAGCATCATTATAAACGATAGCTGACATAAAAAATAATAACTTTAACACTGAAACTATTAAGGATGTAGCTGCCATGGAGTCTCACTATCACTATAAAAAGAAACAGGTAGGAGGTGTCGTCTCAAAAGGAAAACCGTGTCCCCCGCCGTGATATTGCTGGAATGTTGCTAAAAGCGGCGTAAAGCTAAACTCAGTCAGTCAGTCAAAAGCAAAACCAGAGCGGGTGTAGCAGACGGTGGTTGAGGTCGGGCTGGGGGAAATAGAGATATCAGCGAAGATAAAATAATCCTTTACGCGAATTAAACTGGGAAAAAAACGGCATGTCATAACAATTTACAAATAATATCCAATCCTGTCGATCTTCTGGTGGTGATGCCACCTATATATTTTGAGACATTTCATACGATGGCTGATATAAACTTGTCTATGGGTATCTTATCACAACATAAACTTTATGAAAAAAGACACGTAAGATGTTAATTAATCGATGAAACATATTCAACACACATAAATTAGAAAAGCATAAAATATCTTTGAGATGACCCCTTGTCATCTCAGCACATGCATTTCATGACAGGTGAGTCGACGGTCCGTCGTCATACCTGGCTGAGCGACCTACTTGCCATCTATAGTCTGATCTACTGTTTTCAGCAGCCATTCGTATTTTTTTCTGCCCGATTTTACGAGTAAACATGCTTTTCTGGATATCCTATTACGCATCCCACTGAACGCCCAGTTAGGCCGATGTGGATTGTCGACGTATACTATTTGCAACTGTGTAAATTCTAGGGATACAGAGTGACAGCCTAAAAAACTGTTTTTTTCTGTTTCCGACAGTACTTTAGTGATGTCTTTTACATCCAGTGACTCGTGACTAAGCACATGCAACCTGGGCTTGTCATGGTACACCATGGATGATTTGATGGTTACAGCAAGACAGTTTCGTCATCAAATGGAAGGTGCGATTGGAGGCCTGCTGACAGAGGGAGAATCGATCGTGAGTTCCATCATTATGAGGAATTATTCCTTTCGTAAGAGTTTGGAATACAGCAATGTGTAGTGAATTAAACCACACAAAACCGCCATCCATAGTTATATACTATAACAGGGTATTCACCACTACATGTATTACTGAAATTATTGAATTCTGTTGCTAAATTGACACATATCAGACATATATTATGTTTCTTACATTTTACAACATTAAATACAGGACAAAATTAAATCAACGAGGAAACCAGTCTTGTTTAAAACAGTGAAAGTCACAATTAAACAATCACTGCCTGGATCTACTTTTTTTTTCTAAATGTGCCCCACATTACCAGTTGGTATGATTTTTCCATTATTTCAGGTCTCGACCAGAGAAGATCAAGGTGTTCCAAGTGAAGAGAGGACAGGTATTATAGAAGTTCTTATAGTTATTGAAAGGATAATAGATATTTAGTGGCGCAACATTGTCTAATGGCCATTCCTAATATCACACCAAAGATGTTTTGAAAGCACAACTAGTAACAAACAACTTACAGATTACAGTGTTCCAGAAACACTTGAAAAGTTCTGTAACAGTCTCATTCATGATACATCCAATTCTGTATCTATTCCCAAAGTTAGTTTTCTGATTTATAGGTATACAAATTATCACGTATGCAATACAAATAACATTGTAGTGCAATTATAGTATAAGTGCAATCGCCCTTAGCAACATCAGTGAATCCAATTGTAAATCCAAGGGAGACAACATATTTTGAAGTGTCAGAAATCATGTTATGGAACCAGAAAATTTAGACCCAGAGGTTACTAACAGACTCCACCTTTGAATCCAGTGTAGTGATCGTCATGAAAGATAGGTACAAATTGTGACCTCAACTGACTGACCTCAATAGTTTAGTTGTGACGATATAACCATTAAACATGTACTATGGAATAATCATGACTTCTCCAATGAGACTACATGGTCTGCTTCATGCCAGTTGTCATCTATATGGATGGTGCAAGTAAACACGCCGACAAAATGGAAGCATCATTCAGAAACAACGGTATACATCGAATCCAGTGTGACAGTAAGTACACTTTTGTTGAACAAATGCTTAACAATAATCAGGTCATTATGAACGCATATGGACTATCCAGACAGATCATGTATATAATTTCTATTTTTTATTACGTTTAGGATGAACCGTAATTTGTTACATCCGCGTTTATCGTTCTACTAGATAATTAAATATACGTATATTTTAAAGCAATTGAATTTTGTCACATAACATTTGGTTTGTTGTTTCGTGCTGCATTTTACAGTCTGACATCCGCAGCATCGATCTACTAAACTGGGATACGATGAAATGCCTCTTCAAAATCATCGATCCTGATCTCGCTCCAGTTAGTCGCCTATTACAAGCTTATGTAACTAAAGATCACATTTAACCTGAATTTTCTCGGATCCATAGAATTGATAATTTGTCCTTTTATTTTCTGCAGGTGCCAAGACATTAAAAAAGGCCATCAAAACAGACTGTTCACGTATGATTGTACTGATTGAGGAACGGTTTTCTAAACTGTTGGAAGACGAATACAGGATCTGCAAGGCCGCTTTCAAAGGTGACATACCTTTTCTGTCGAACTCTAAATCTCAAGGAATAATACTAGTTCCTGAGCTGTGCCAATTCAACTACGCAATATGCTCACCTTTAAAGGCATGGAAATAAGTAGGGTATGATCTGGTATTCATACGTAAATGTTGTAATCTAATTGGATATGTGTCATGTCTTATTGTCATGTTTTACACAGATCTGAATGCTTGTTGAATGCAGCAGTAGGGAATTAATGACGTTATTCCAAGAGAGACCGTTTCTGTAGCTGATGTCTTGCAAAATGATTTTCCCTATTGTGTCCTGTCTATATATTTTTACCAACACTAGATGCATCTTCAAAAGTATTGTGACAACCTTGCAGTTGTATTTGCGGTAACATCTTTTGAGTTGTATGACGGGTGCTCTTTGAAAGAAAGTATACCTTGAAATGACAAGAATTGATGGAATTGGCGGAATATCGTTTGAAAGATGGGGAATGAAATGTTGAAGGCATCCTTAAAGTCTTGTGTTTTGTCACCGAATATTTATTTTGATTTGGAATCCTTTCAGAAATTCGGAATCATAGCGAAAAAAAATCAGCAACAAGGGGAGCACAACGGAAATGCCTATGGAAATGCCTATTCATTTACATGATATACTTGCATTTCGCAGAGTTACCTTGTAACCTAGTGCCTTGCTTTAAGTCTTATCTATCAACCATTGTTTCTTTTAAAATGATTTGAAGTCCTCGGACCGTTTCCTGAACATAGTTCAGTCACCGAACTGTAGAGTAACTGTTACTGAGCTCACTCACTTTACCACTCCCACTTAAAAAGCCTTTTGAATCACTGATTCCAGAGGGACAAAGGTTCAGCTCGTAGGAACGTTTGAAGTTTTAACTAGCAGGTTCTTCACTGTTTCGTAAAATATAGATATATAATGCTGGATTGAACGCTGCATCTTGTAACTAATTTGAAGTTGCAAAGTATTGCATTAAGTATTGTATGCGTGTACTTCAAACGTGTGTACTATCTGGAGAACTGTTTGATTGATTGGTTGGTTTGTTGTTTAACGCTGCCCTCAGCAGTATTCCAGCTATATGTTATGTAAACAATCCAGTCTGGACAAAACAATCCAGTGATCAACAGTATGAGGATCAATCTACACAACTGGAATACGATGTCATGGGTCAACAATCTCATGGGTCACAAGAGCCTGTTAATCACCTTTTTACGACAAGCATGGGTTGCTGAAGACAACTCCAACCCGAATCTTCATGGGTGGGAACTGTTTGAACGTGAACACCTAAGCATATATTTTATAATTTCATCTTTCACCCTAGCTGCTGATATTGTTGTTAATTACAGATCTTGTAGAAGCTGGAAAGTATGTTCAGTTAATCAGTTATTTGGACGATGACGAAACCCAGCAGGAAGTAAAGTATAAGCTTCCCAAAGCCATGAGAAAAAACATTGTTCATCATACTCGGTTTACCAACAGTACCAATGGCTATGTAGTTCCTGAGGGTAGGTTCTTGTAAATGCTTAACTAACTGCTTATCTCTTTATTCTCTCTTAATTAAGTAATATCTTCCTGTGCTGTGTTCATCAAGAACAGAAAAACACTTCACCTGAGCGTACCCTTGCCGTCACACGGGAAATGAAACTAACTATGTCAACTCTTCATGAAAATTTATGATTTGACCAACACCCCAGATGCCCGGTTTTTGTCCCTCACCCCTGGTCAGCAGAAGTCATATGCTGTTCAGGCAGCCACAGAATTTGATACGTTTTTCAGAATCCTAAGTTCTTCCCGATGGTGAATATACAACACATATCTAGAAGCTAATGTTACACAAGTCTACCAGAGCAATGTCTCTCTGTGACAAGATTACACACCCTTCATCCACAGAAGTTATTGGCATGGACCATGAATGGACTGAACATTTCTTCAGCTTCGAGAGTCTCACCTCCTGTTGATACGTATGGTGTCAAAGGTGGATATATCTACACATAAACCATTCCACCGATTGCGCAAATGGCAAAGGATCTGGGTAATTCCTCTGGAAAGGACACAAGTACCCAGAGGGTAATGATGTCAGCGCTTAATCCATGGACGTTTCAACTTCATGGCATGACAGTGTTCTACCGAGCTCATGAAGTAGGCTTTCTTCTGTCAGATTTGAAGGGTAGATGATAACAAGCTAGCTCAACTGGAAATCACCACCACACAATCTCTCTATGGATTGAGTAGGTAACATGCTATTAATGAAAGAAGAAGCAAGAGACAAACTGAGAGAGAATGTTGTTCTCTGCTATGCTAACTCTAAAGAAAAATGAATAATTCGTCTGTGACCGTACCAGTCGCAATTCACCATTACTTACTCCTCTTTGTCGTCAGGGGTAATAGTTATCACTGATGAAATCTCTACACCAAACCCTTAGTGCGCCAGTCTTGGAAACCATCGACCATCTTTGACAGGTGAATAAAGAAGTAGTTCAAGACTGCAAGGATCAGATGTCAGTTTAATCAGTTCAGACTAAGAACGCAATGTATAAACAGGAATGTATAAACAGTTCATGCAGAAAACACAGTTCAAGAGTTGCTTTGCGTGTATGTATACAGATAGCAAAGGACAAGCACTCCTCTAGTTTCAGAGGAGACATCTTTTCACAAACCTCAAGACAGATTAGGAGATCAGTGTACCACCCGTGGTTCCCACTTTCACCAATAAAAGGTCGCCACTGAACGAGTGGAGGTGTCCACACCCAGCAAGGGATGCATATCAACGCTAAGTGATGATCGTATGTCCTGTCTTGACCCCCGAAGATCATATACTCAGAAGCATTACATATAACAAAAGTTGTTAAAAACTATTAACACACTTCATGTCCTAACTCCATGATTATATCAACTGATTTTATGAATCTGTAAAATAATCCAAACGAACGTTTTGTGTGTTTTCAAACATATCTTTACAAACAGATTCCAAGCAACAAGCAATGTCACGATTCCTCGTCACAGTTCGAGGCAGACTACAGTTACGAGACTATTTCAGGATCCTCGGGATCTAAAGCTTCGTCCACCTCAGCATATGAGGAAAGAGGATTCTCTGGTGGTCAGTCCATTTGAATATCTGTGGAAGAGTTCGCAAGATCTGAAGGCTGCACAGTAATGAAAGTTTGACCTCCACAAATAGAATTTGGGAAGCACAGTGAATATTAAGCGTGTAAACAACGTTAGGACTTTAGGGACTTGTCAACTTGTTTCATCATATGGTTTCGATGTGCCTTCGTTGGGCATGCGTGTGTTTGTGTGTTTTTCTGTTCTTGGGGAAGACTGCACAGTAGTAAAAATATACTTATTTCATTATGTTATTCTTCTGTGTGTTTTTCGATAGTAAGTTTGCCTTTTGAGCACCACAACATGTAGGAGATGAAACATAAAAACAGATTATGTTGGTTTTATTTACATTAATGTGACTTAATATGGAACTGACTTCGCAGGATGTCTGTGGCATTTCATAATCCAAATTTGAAGGAAACTGCTGATGTTTGACTAGAACATATTATCTTCTGCGTGGAACAAGGGTTACGTAACTTGTTGCGCCATTATCAGATCATCCTACAACAGCGGCACAGGTGGGCAATAACAACCATATTGAAGTCATGCCAGGTGCTGACAGCATGCACGCAACGGTTGGGAGAAATAAACCATTTTCCGCATCTAGTGGTGAGTTAAGATTTATTTATGAATGTATTCTTTCCACTGCGACTTCATGTACCAGTATGTCGTCTTGTGGTTAAATGGGTCTAAATCTACATCTAATGTTTCTTAGAGATCTGAGTATTTGTCAAACCTGTATTTTTATGTCATCGAAAAATCTTGATAATAGAAATTAAGCTTCCATATTGCTGAAAAAGAAATGATTTAGTCTGCAAATAAATACGCTGTTGTAAGGTAATTTTCTTTACAAAAATATACTGCTCATGTTTTTCTGGACGAATGTCGGTTATGTTTTTCAACAGAACATTCTTGTTTTAGAATCCTTCGATTCAGGGCTACACTTTGACCATAACGACACCAGAAGCAGACTATGAACTGTGCACAGAAATTAAGAAGCATATCGACAGCAACATTGACGACATCAACATATCCCTTAAAGCACTGAACACTGCAAGGGTTGAATCTACAAGTCTGGGATCTGTCATCATCAAGTGTCACGGTGAAGCCTGGAATAAAACTTGGACCAGTTTGGCTGAGGGATGTTCATCACTAAGATCCTGTCTGAAGTAATCTTTGCTAAACTGCCAAAAGGTAACCCGGATGGAAGTCAACATCAGTGTTCAGTAACACACCCTGAAGTGGATATATTTGGTAAATAACCCTGTGCATGAATGTCACCTTCCAGTTCATAAGATAATCATGACATCCAAGTATACATGTATGCTACAAGTAAAATAATACAAATTCACAAATATATTTACTAATTGGTATTATGATATGTATTATTGAAAAAATGGTAAAATAGTATCAGTGATATTCCATGTTATTATTACAAGTGGAGTGGGTGTGAGTGTGGACGTGGTCTTTTCTATATTTCATACAAACATGAACAGAATCTTATAACGAAATGAAATTCGGGTGTCTTGTGAAGGTTGAATGAAACATTCCGAACACCAATCTAATATAAGGACTGTCAAAACGATAAACTGGAAACATAATCACCTCGCTCGTCTGAACCATGTTTGTCTTTAAGTGTGATATATGTTCATGACATAGCATTTTCAATTACCCAGTGTGTTGTTGCTAATTTTGTTTCAGAGTTAAAATGTGAAAAGTGGATTACAGAATACGCAACTGACATTACCAGGAAGGATGAAATAGGTCGTAGCATGCTCCACCAAGCGGCAAAACTTGGAAATAGAACTGTTGTCATTTTAAGTCTAAAATCTGGCTGCAATGTAGATGATCAAGATAGTCACGGAAACACTGCTCTCCACTATGCAGCAATGTTAAAGAAAAAACAGTGCGTCTGTGTCTAGGATACTTATTGAAGGCAGAGCAAGCATTGAGGTGGTCAACAGAGATGGATACACACCGCTACATTGTGCTGTCACTAAGGAGGACTTGAGACAGTTGAACTCTTTGCAGAGAAAAAGTTTGGAAATAAAGAGAGCAATCCTACATCCAGCAACCCTACAGACGTATCATATCTTACAAAACTCATGGTCGAACATGGAGCAGACGTCGACGCTCTCAACAAAGAAAAGCTCACACCATTACAAGTGGCTGCTTCGTGGCAACGTTTTGATGTTGTTGCAGTTTTACTTACTGAAGGCGCGGACGCGAATGTTGTCGATACAAATGGTCAAACACCACTGCACCATGTATATGGGTCAAACCAGAAAACTGGTGCAGTTTCTAAGACACACAGACTACAGGAAGCACCGAGAATAAGTTATGTTGGGTCCCAATCTGTGGATACAGATGAACCTGATAATGATGGAGCTAGTGAAGCTCAATCTTCAAAGTTAAACATACCAGATAGTGCAGGTAATACTCCACTCCACAGTGCACTCACGGGAAACTTCACACAAGGAGCTATCACTCTAGTGAAAGCTGGGGCAAGTGTAAATACCAAGAACAATATAATGGATACACCCCTCCATACACTTGCGGGAAATACAAACACGGAGATTACTAAGAGCGAAAATAATGCCGTGATAAAGGTTATTGAATGCAGCAGAGATGTCGATGTTAAAGATAACAGTGGTAATACACCACTAATGCTGGCTGTCGAGATGAACAAAGACATCTCACCACTGCTCAAAGCTGGAGCGGAAGTCAATGCTAAAAATAAACATGGCGGTGCATCACTAATCATAGCTGTTCAAAGGGACCATGTGAAAATGGTAGAAACATTAATAAAGGCCGGATCTGATGTGAACATGAGCAATTCACATGGTGATACAGCTTTGATGCTAGCTGTAGAGAGGGGATGTGAGGAAAACGTTTCAGCAATAGTCCAATGTGGGGCGGATGTAAATGCTTCCAATACCTGTGGTGAAACAGCGCTCCACAAAGTTGTTCAGCATGCAATATCAAAGCAATGTATGTATGTACATGCGAGAAGAAACGTTGAGGAAAAAAGGTAAAACACCTTCAAGTCCATTCAATTTAAGTCATGATTTTGCAGACATTGTTGAAACTCTTCTCAAAGGTGAAGCCGACATCAATGCCAAAGATCACAAAGGTAAAACACCTCTGATGACTGCTATAGAGGGGAATTTCAAAGGAGAGAGGGGAGAAACTAACCTTATCCCACAATTAATTGCTTGGGGAGCTAACGTGAACGCTCAAGATTCGGTTGGTCAGACGCCCTGATGATGGCTGTAAAAGCCGGATATGATATATCACCACTACTTAAAGCTGGGGCAGATGTCATTTCAAAGAACAAATCTGGTACAACAGCGCTGCATCTTGTCTATGAAGACTTTTATTTCCTTCACATAATAACAACCTCAATGAGTTTCGACCATTACAAAGAAAGGAAAAACAACAACGCTTCACAACTGATTGCTGCTGGAGCTGACATCAGTGCTCAAGATAATGACGGTAACACGCCGCTGATGATGGCTGTAAACACAGGACATGATATCTCACTACTACTCACAACTGGGGCAGATGTCAATTCAAAGAATAAATCTGGTAAAACAGCACTGCATCTTGTCTCTGAAAACGTTTATGGCTTTGACACAACAGTCATCCAAAACTGATTGCTGCTGGAGCTGACATCAGTGCTCAAGATAATGACGGTAACACGCCCCTGATGATGGCTGTAAACACAGGACATGATATCTCACTACTACTCACAACTGGGGCAGATGTCAATTCAAAGAATAAATCTGGTAAAACAGCACTGCATCTTGTCTCTGAAAACGTTTATGGCTTTGACACAACAGTCATCCAAAACTGATTGCTGCTGGAGCTGACATCAGTGCTCAAGATAATGACGGTAACACGCTGCTGATGATGGCTGTAAAGGCAGGACATGATATCTCACTACTACTCACAACTGGGGCAGATGTCAATTCAAAGAATAAATCTGGTAAAACAGCACTGCATTTTGTCTCTGAAAAATTTTATGGCTTTGACACAACAGTCATCCAAAACTGATTGCTGCTGGAGCTGACGTCAGTGCTCAAGATAATGACGGTAACACGCCCCTGATGATGGCTGTAAAGGCAGGAAGTGATATCTCACCACTACTCACAGCCGGGACAGATGTCAAGTTAAAGAATAAATCTGGTAAAACAGCACTGCATTTTGTCTCTGAAAACGGTTATGGCTTTGACACAATGATCATCCAAAACTGATTGCTGCTGGAGCTGACGTCAGTGCTCAAGATAATGACGGTAACACGCCCCTGATGATGGCTGTAAAGGCAGGAAGTGATATCTCACCACTACTCACAGCCGGGACAGATGTCAAGTTAACGAATAAATCTGGTAAAACAGCACTGCATTTTGTCTCTGAAGGCAAGAGCTCTTTCCGTTCTCAAAAGAAGACAATCAGTGTTCACCATCTGATTGCTGCTGGAGCTGACGTCAATGCTCAAGATAATGTTGGCAACACATCTCTTCACATGTGTATAATGTATAATGATTACCATAATGCCATGGTATTATTGCACAATCCAGGGACTGACGTCAATTATTACAAATGAGATCTGGACAATCGGTGTTGCATGTGGCGGACGCTGTGGACGAAGGGTTTCCGGGGATAGGGGAACTACGTCATTTGAGACGTGGATATTCCCAGTATCATCTGGAGTATACGAAAAGAGAATGGTACGGGCAATCCTCAGCAAGAATCCCGATCTCGAAGCTCAGGACAAACAAGGCAGAAACCCTTTGGATATTGCAAAAACGTCAAGCGACAAATTTCATGAGAAATTTCGGATGTCAAAAGCTAAGCGTTTATCAACAAAACTATAGAGACATTCAAGCCGAGAGACAGCACGATCAGCTTACCAAAAAACTTAAACAATAAGTCTGGGTTTTGGTATATGTTCTACCAAAATCATGCGATTGTTGCAGACAGTAATCGTTTCAATGATGTGACAATTTGTGTATATTTAGCTGTCCATACAATGTACTGCTGATTATCAAACGATGCTTTTTAAAGAGAAAAGATGAATGATTAGATTTTCTATGTATATTTGTTGGCCTATATACATGTATACACTTGGAGACTGTACAAACTACGAAGAAATAACCAGTTAATAAGAATGTACATATACATCATTATCTGCACATCATTAAGGGATAGCCGATGTGACGTTAAATATTAACTCACTCACTCATTAAAGGGATATGTTTCATTTACCTATAGACATTTCCAATGACACACAAATAGTTTGTAGTATTTTATATGCATAATGTGAATGTACTGCGATTTAGTAGTAACTATGAAACTTCAAAGGTTTGGTTGTAAAATTTAGAAATTATATATTTTCAAGCGTTTGTTTGTAAGAATTACCATCCTTACGAAATGGCTGTATTTCTTTGCTTTATAGGCTGTATATATTTCGCATCTGGTTGTAAGAGGTAGAGCTTTGTTTTGAGTAAATAATGATTATGTAATACTGGCGTTTATGAAAATGTTAGATGGTGGAAGTAAAAGGTTAAGAACACAGAGGATAGTACCAGTTTGATTCTTTAAATTGGAATGATTGAACATGTTCACTGTTGACAGTGCACTTCTTGTTCAATTCCCTATTTTGCAGTATTGAGTAGCATTGCCAGACGTGAAGAATCTGAATCATGTTCTATCCAACCTTGAGTGATATCAGTTCCCAATATTATTTTCGTTTGTTTGAACACTTGGATTTGACTTTCGTCTCAAAACACAAATGTCATACTCATAATGATTTGTATTTACATTTAAAATGGTACATAGTGTATAGTAAATCTTTATATCTGCAAAAGAAGAAACGCAAAAGTGGTTTTCAGGCGTATTCCATGTATTATATAAAATAATCAACAGATCTTAATGCGTTCCTATTTGGCACAAGTCATCAATCGAATGTCAAGGTTAGGGTCATTTGTTCTCAGTATCGTTTATGGCCCCCTTTGAAAGTCCAGAACTGCCTGGCATCATCGCCCTATGGAACCAGTCAGATTACGAACTGTGGATAGGGAAATGTTCACCCACTCTTCCTGCTGTGCTTGTCCTAACGGTTGGGGGTTCCGTAGCTGTAGTACGCAAATCGTGATCAATGGCATCACATAAATGTACGATGGGTTTAGATCTAGAGACCTTCAGGCCCACGACAGTACTTGGATTTTGAGATTCCTCAAAAAGTCCGCTTTCAGTCTTGCCGTTTGCTTGCTGCATAAAGAGAATGACGTGTGGTCGACGAATTTCATCTCTGTAATGTGGTGCCATTAAACTGCCCTGGGTATATACCAAATCTGTTCTACCGGTATGTGCGATGGCAGCTCGCATCGTTACACTGTCGTCATCACCTGTCATCGTCCTTTCCAGCATAATGTTCCCCTCGACGTATGTAAATATGGCGTCTTCCGTCTGTATGGTGAAGCGAAAAACGTGACACACTCTGTGTCCTTGACACCACTGACGTCTCAGCCGACGATACTGTTCAGTCAGAATGACGCTTCGAACTGGTCGTCTCGGGCAAATAGTTGCGGCGCCAAGGAGTTTCCTACTATCTGATCTGAAATCCTACGCAATCCTGGCATTGCTACAGCAGTAGAGTTCGCCGTGGTAAGTCTATCACGTAAGTGACAAACCAGGATCTAGATAGACAATTGTTGACGGCTCCATAGTCTCGTAGTGGTGCTTTGCGATACGGTTATAAAACTGGCTACGCCCGAAGCCGAATCGCCTGCAGTCGGTCAATGTCGCCGTTGCGTTGCACGTTTTCACTTGTACATTTGAAAACTCGTTGTTCTCATTGCCCAACAATTTATGCTGCGCATTTATTTCATTTTGATGTGTTTGCAAACCACGCCCAACGTTGCGTTTTAGCGCCCTCCACACTTCTGAGCTATTGTTTTTGCTGTGTTATCGGCATTCCCAATGCATGCATACATGAGAAGGTCAGCTTTGTTATTCATTTTGTATGAATACACGGAAACTTCCGACAAATATTTCTAATTTTACTACATTTGTGTTCCTTATTTCTTTCTTTTTTTTGGAAGATAAGAGTATAAGTTTTGCAAATCAAAAATATATGCATTCGTCTTGAGCATAGTGAGTTTGTATTCAGTACTTTTCAAAAGCAGTCATAACTGTAGCTGCCAGTTAATTCAGTCAGTAAGTTGACTTGATTTGTAGATATTTGTATTTTATCTGTACCCGTTGCACTGTTTTTATGACATTATGTTTGGGTGCATTGATAAATGAAGTCCGCTCCTGATGTTAATCCTGGTTTTACATTGTATTTTACTTTTACAGATGTGTTTGTAATCGTCACGTTTACGTCATGCTATGAAAGATATTGGTTTTCCCTACCTGTCATGTAATGTGTAAACGCAAAGATACTGCATTTATCAGCAGGCTTGTGGTATTTTCTGTGTCAACTCCTTTCGTACATATATATATACGTATGTATATGTGTATATATATGTCCAAAATGATGTTTACTTGAGATCATTACGGACACAGTTTGTTAATTGTTATCCTTATTGTCATCATTAGCACTATTGTTTATAGTCTGACGGTTGTCATAGTAACCCGGTATGACTTTGTATTCTTATGTTGAGTTTACTACACATTCCAGTTCACATGTATGGTTAAGTTGTGCCTGAATGTCAAGCCGAGCGTATTTGCCAGCTTCACGAATGTACTGTTCCTTACTATACACAATGAACTTAATTAAGCAACTGCTTCCCCTGTATTTTTCCAATGATAGGTTTTCAACACGTACATATAACTTGTAGTGGTGACCACGATGGAAAAACGTGTTTGTCTGACCCCTATGATCCTTTGACTCATAAAAAATAACAAAATGATTGGCATCCATGTTGATTTTATGATGATAATTGCTCATTATTAAAAAACACTCATTTTCATACAAAACCATGTCTGTACAAGTATGGCCCTGGAATGTTTTATGTTGAATTTATTGATGAATGTGAACATTCAACATGTAATTTTGCGTGTCTTACATGATTCAAGGTCAATACCGAGTGTAACCTTCATGTGACTGTCTGACAGCCAGCAGTCTCCTCCTCATACCCCTGTTAGCCTCCTGATCCTCTGGAGGGGCAGTCTACGCGGGGTCTTCTCGTTTCGCCACCACCCTGTAAAGGATTAGGGATAATGCTGTTGTTACAAGCAGAGGGGTCGAATCATGCTAAGTTTTATCAGTCTAATTGGGGTGACCGAAATTTAGTATGTTTGCTGCCCAAGAAGGAGTATGATTGAATTGTGATTAAAAAGTTAAGTGTTCACTTTTGTTTTTCCAAGACGCATGTATAAATATACTCAAAGTCAAAGTCAAAAGATGTTTACTTTTACTCCAGTGCTTCTAATTCTGGCCTTAACAAAATGGCAAATGTACAGGTTAACGTAGTGTTTGTTGATAATAAATCTGGAAGCACAAACCTTCTTTATCAGGACTTTATCAAGTTGAGAATTAAGAGACGAAGAGGAACCAATATCCATTGGAAATGCTGTGGTCCTTCCTGTCGTGGTACCATCGATACCACTGACGTAGGTGTTGACATTAATGTACATTTTAATATACTTTAATATTTTAATATGTTTTTGGAATATGTATAAATTTACTATGTCAATGAGTATGAATATATATTTATAGTATGTAAAAAATCAGTACTATTCAAATTGTACAACCACCAACATTATTTTTATGTCATGTATTTATTTTATTTTACTTGGTTGCTTTACTCACTAGTATATTTGCCAGTAAATGTAATGAACTGCCCCCGCCACCTCCATTGTTCTGTCAATTAAAATGCCTGACTACACCTTTAACAATAGGGAGGTGGCAGACCGAGACTACACCGTCTACGCCATCCCTGGTGTAAAGCAGCTTCCAATTGGGACAGGTTCTGTACAGGAGGATCCCTTTGTTGCACATGACGATCAATCATGTCCCGGATACTCCAAAGGGTTAAGATCGTGGGAACAATCAACCGTGGGACATGTCAGGGGGATTCTTAACTACGTTCTTTCTGCATATTACGCTAAATATTGTTTGGTGACATTGTTTCACACGTTTATAAGTGTATGATATATAGAATGCATATATAGTTTTAATTTCTACAGATACATGCATATAATTTTTAGAATGATTGAGTGAGTGAGTATGGTTTTACGCCGCTTTTAGCAATATTCCAGCAATATCACGGCGGGGAACACCGGAAATGGGCTTCACACATTGTGCCTATGTGGGGAATCGAATCCGGGTCTTCGGCGTGACGAGCAAACGCCTTAACCACTAGGCTACCCCTGCGCTCCTTTTAGAATGAGCATGTAGACCAAACAATAGGTATCATTGTTCAAATAAGGATAAGTCCAGTTGTACTATTCAATGCCTTAAGGAATTTTTTGTGTGCGTTGTTAACAACATCACATCTAAGGCCACACCTTTTTTTCTCTTTTTTAAATTTTTTGGTTAACGGATCGTTTTACAGCAATACCTACCAATATTCCCGTCGGAAGGTGGTTAAATAAATATGCTATTTCAGATTTTCTTTTCCTTAAATGGTTTTCAGCACAAGTAGGCTGTTTTAAAAAAATAGATTATGCCATCGGTCATTTAAGTGTTCACATTTCCTACTATATTAGGGTTTAAAAAAACAGCACTTTCACTCAGTAAGGTTAATTCGGCGATTATATTTCTTTCAATATTATAAACTTTTGTTTTGCACCGATGCTAAATTCGCAACAGAAAGTCGATTTTAAAAGAGTAGATTTTTAAATTATTCATTTGGGTTTT